TCCTTCAGCTTTTTGGTATTCCCCATTTTTTTTCTCTCACTGCTGGAGCATTCCTCCATGGAGATTTTATCTTCCTAAAGAAATATTATTAATTGTTTCTATCAGCATTTATAAGAATTTCCACTGGTTTATGCTTTTTATTTCACCTTTTACTGGGATGACTGGTAGGAACAGACATAACATTAGCAAAGACTTTCTATATTAATGAATAATAAATACAGTTTGAATGAACACAGCTATTCTGTAGCAACCTTTGGTACAAACAAAAGCATCATAAACTTAATTATACTATTATGTAACTAAAAGTAAACCAGTCCCACATTTCACTATAAATAAAATAATCTATCACCAAGATGTATTTCTCAGCACTATTGATTATTAAGTATAAGTGATCTAAACACATTATTCACAGAACAGAAAAATCACAATGAGTCATTAACTAGATCAAATGTTACATTTATTTTTAATCATATTGTTGCACACATTAATTAATCAGCTAAATACCAATACACCAAAAACAGATTACTATAAAAACCCACAATAAATGATGCAAAAACCACTCCAACTGATAAAAATAAAAGAGTTTAAAACAATAATTTGAGAAAACATTTTGCAATAAGATCCAAGTTCAAACAGCCATTAATTTTCTCAGATCTTTGATCATTATTTCTTATATTTTTACTTTCATATTACTATAAAGCAGAAAAAAGTTGATAAATCATTTGATTAATGTCTTAAAATTCAAGATAACATATTTTTATACTAAGCAAGTTTTCTCTATTCTCTTCCTATCTCCCTTCATAAGAGAGGAACCAGCTCCCTCTGCAACCCTAATGGAAGGAGCAGGTCTAGATGAATGGATGCATGAATGAATGGGTTAATGTACAAACAAACTAATAAAACACCACAACCAAAGAAAAAAGAAGAAAACAACTTTAAAAAGTTTCCCAAGTACCATAAAGGCCAATATCAGTTCAGGTTTAAACTGAGTCAGAGGAGTTCAAATAGATGATGGTGTCCCACCCCCTAGTGGCCACCTGGAGGTACTGAAGACTTTATAAAATATTACAACGTGGAATTCCTTTTAATCTTCAAACACTAAATAACATAAATCCAACACCTTGAAGCAAATTTATAAATGTGGAGAAAAAAAAGCACACGTTCAGTGAGAACAGCAGCTGCTTCGGTCCCTGTCTGACCTTTGATGCTTCTGGGGAGTTTTATGGTTCATAGTTTCAGGGCAATCAGTAAAAATAAGGAGCTATATCCTGTCTGCACTGACTAGATGGCAATAAGAGGGTTCAAAGTAATGGATTTATAGTATATGGACTAAAACTAGCACCTGAAATCAATAAACTGGTGCAGGACTTTATGCAACATCATTAAAACTTTGTATTTCTAATCCTGAGTAAAAACTATTTAGCTCTATTTAACACCGACCACCTAAGATAAACCTTATATCAGTTGCTAAGGATTTTCTCTAATAATATAAACAATGAAATCTCTTAACAGGTTGAGCCTTATTGAATATTTACACTTTAAATGATGAAAAGAGAAGAATACAATAAGTAGCATATTAGGATTTTAAATGAATAAACATAGAAATAATTCCTGTGGCAAAATGTTGTTTGTTTTAATTTGTTTTAAAGATAATTCCTTTCTTGGGGCTTGTAGTTTTATCGCAGCTTAATAAAAATATTTTGAGCATAAGAGCTTTAAAGTTCAAACATTTACAGAACAAAATGTAAGTTTTTTTTATAACTTCTTTAGATCTTTCTGAAACCCTGATTCATATTCTGCTGCGCTGAGCTCTTATCTAACCTTCAACATGTTCCCACCTGATGCAGAACAATTACTGTAGATATTCCTGTGGTTCTTCGACTCATCGTTGGGCTTGTCCAGATGTTGGAAAGGATGGCAAAGAATTATTGATTGGTTGATTATTTATGGATCAATTGATCAATCGATCAATCTTTATACCAAATCTTATTCTGATTATGAGTTTTTTGCATATCTTAGTGCTGCATTGGTTCCTTCGTTCACTCTGCTTTTCATCTCCTCCAGTTTCTTGACTTTCCTCTGGTCTCCTTTTTCCCTCATCTTCTCCATCAGGAAGTCCAAATGGACCAAAGTTGACACTGATTCAACTTTCAGGGCGATCTGCTCCAGTATGATAACGTGGCTGTAGGCCTCATCCAGCAGCAATGCTCGCTCTTTTTCCAGGTTTCTGTTTTCCAGTTTAAGGTTTTCCAGAAGGCTCGACTTTTCCTCACATTCTTCTTTATTCTTTTCATATTTCTCCTTTAAATCCTCCAGGGTCTTCTGAACTTTCTTGGTCTTTCTCACATATCTCCATTTTTCTTTCACATGAACTGATGCAGGACACTTGTTGGTACAAACTGTGCAGCGACCATCCTTTATGACCTCACAGCGTCCTGGGTACCAGGCTGTTGTGCATCCAGGATGGTGACAGTTCTCCTCACAGACAGAACAGGTGATGGCTCCTTCATAAAACACCAACAACCACATTCCTCCATTGATTGGTTCTTTTTCTTTGTAGACCTCATCAACTTCTATAGTAAAGTTCTGGTGCTCCATCATCTCTTCTTCATGATTTTCATACGCTTTTTCAATCTGTCTGATTTCTCTCTGCTTCAGATCATTCTCCTTGATTCTGTCCTGCAGGTTCTGGATGCAGGCCTCCAGTCTGATCCGTTCATTCAGAACCTCAGCAGTTATTTCCAGAGGCTGAGGTTTGGTTGATTCCAGAAAAGTCATGAAGTTTTTCAGTCCTTTCATTGATATTTGATCAGCAAGTTCCAGGAATTCTCTGTCATCTTTTCTATCTTCATGCTGACAGTTATTAAACAGAAAGTAAATAATCTCATTTTCAGAAGATTTAACATTTGCTGCTTTCAGAGCCTGAAGAGCTTTTTTAGGTTTTCTTCCATTAGAGTGAGTAATGAGAGCTACTATGTTTTTCTCCAGGTCTTTTCCAAACAGAGACGTCACTGAATTTAAGACGTACATCAGTCGGCCACTCATTCGGTTATCACTGGCCTTCATCATCAGACCCACTGCATTGATCTCATGAACTCCATCCTTTGACCGAAACAGCTGTAATAATTTTTGATAGACTACTTTATCATGTTCGATCCCTCTGGTGTCTCCAAATCCAGGAGTGTCAATGATGGTCAGAGAGAACGGCAGAGTTTGACCTTCTAAACCAAAGATCTGATAGACGATCACCTCTGATGTCTGACTTTCAATAGAACATCTTCCCTCCTCGTCCTTAACGATGACAGTCCATTCTTCATCCTCAAACTTCATTCCTATTGCATAGTTAACCAGAATGTTAACCAGGGTAGATTTTCCTGCTCCTGTTTCACCAACAAGTAAAATGGTTTGATTGGTTTGGTTCTCATTTTTGTCTCCTAAAGTCACTCTGGTCCAACTACCAAGCTTTTCTTTTTTTGTTTTCAACTGAAAGACTTTAGGAGATCCTGAAGAGATCAAAGTCTTGGTGATGGTTCCTTTGAAAGTCATCAGATCATCTGTCCTGTAAAAAAGGAGTAACTGCTTAAATCATTTCAATATTTATTGCTAGATTTTATTCTTATAGTGTATTCACATAGTTTAGTTTAAAAATAATACAATGAATTAGGAATAATTTGATAACAATTTTTGTGGTAGTCTGTTCTAAAATGTTTTCTAGAAATAGATCTTCCGTGTGATTACAGGTTGGATACCGATTGCATTTCTAAGGCTTTGCTCCTGCAAGAATGACAGAATCGGTCAAACAAAAACAAACAAACAAAAAAAACTTATATCTGACTTCAAGCTATAAGAAAAAAGTAAAGGAATTAAAAATTGGAGCATGGAACAGAGCATTTTAGCACAAAATAAATTATTGACAAAAACAGAAAGAGTTAAACCTTAGAAACAAATATGAAATGGGAGGGGGAGGGGGGTTGCGAGGTTAATGATGCATCAGTAGTAAAACAAATATTTGTCAGCTCCAATAACTCATAGGAAGCCATGTTTGGAGCGATAAAAAAATTTACAGAAAAAAATAAACAGGAGACATTTAGACAAAAAGCGTTTTGCATTCATACCTTTTACTCATAACTCATTTTTTTACTCACATATCTAATTTTTATCAGACACATCATATTAAAGTAAAAATATTATCAATTCACAAAAGAGTCCAAAAAAAAAACAAAGAGACTTTTAAATAATTATGATTTAACCTTTAGATTTTTTGAACTTTTAATCTTTTTGCTACAAGAATTACTACTTACTACTTATTACTTGATCTATATAAATTCTTATTCTCTGGTTCTGAGTTTAGGCATACTAATTGTCACAAGACTTAAAATAAAGTATTTAAAACGGCTGTTTTTACATCAGAACACTGACATTAAATCCAATAATGTAATTTGTACAAATTGATATAATAAGTTATTAAATCAGATCAACTTAGTGTTCCCATCTCTACATGTTCAGATTCAACTAAATTCAGTTTATGAGTAAAGCGCCAATTCACCGCATGCCATCTTAGCACACTTTACAGTTTACATTGTTATATTCAATAAAAATTAATCTTGTTTGTTTTTGTTTTGATCTGTTTCAGAAGAATATCACTTTTTATGTCAGGGAGACCTCCCCTTCCCCAGCTGGTTTATCTTTTTCTTGTTGATCTCTGTTGACCAGCTGAGTTTTTATCTCCTGCAGTTTTCTCAGCTTCTCTCTGTCTCCTTTGTCTTCCATCTTCTCAATCAGAAATTCCAAATGACCGACAGTTTTCCTGGAATTGAATCTCAGGGCGATCTGATGCAGTCTGACGATATGCTGGAAGGCCTCATCGATAAACTTCATCTTCTCTGCTGTCAGCTGTTTCAGCTGATCTTCATAGCTCTCTAAGGTGCTCATCTTTCTCTGACTTTCTGAATTATCTTTGTCAGGCTTCTCTATTATCCTTTGAACTTTTTTTGTCTTTGTCTCATAGATCCAGTTCACCTTAACATGAGAGGATGCTGGACACTTCCCAATGCAGACGGTGCAATGACCACCTATAATGAGGGTGCATTCACTGGGTTTTACACTACATGGAATGTGACAGTTGTCTTCACATTTGGTACAACAGAGAGCTGTTTCAGAAGAAGTAAACCAACCGCCACTCTCATAGGGTTTTTTGACTTTATAAGCCTCATCTACTTCTACCGTGATCACAGAATTTTTATTTCCATCTCTCTTCAGAGCTTCTTGAATCTGTTTGATTTCTGTCTGTTTCAGTTCGGTCGACTTGATTCTTTCTTCCAGGTTCTGGATGCTGGCGGTCAGTTTTTTGCGTTCCTTTAAAACCTTTTTTGTTGTCATTAGTTTTTGGGGAGCAGTTTTTTCTAAAAACATGGTTAATTCTCTGAAACCGTTCTCTGAAATCTGGTAAACACTTTTTATATATTCAGTATTTTCTGTTCGCTCTTCCTCCTGGCAGTTATCAAATTTGAAGTGGACTGCCTCATCCTCTTCATTTTTTGCACATTTAATTCCTGCTTTCTCCAAAGCTCTAAGGGCTTTTTTAGGCTTCCTTCCATTTGAGTGTGTAGCAAGGAGCACAATCTTGTTCTGAAGGTTTTTCCCAAACAGAGACATCACTGAATCAACGATGTTTATTTTGTGATCAGTCAGTCTGTTATCAGTCGCCTTCGTCACCAGACCAACTGCATTTACTTCATGAACTCCATCCTCTGATTGGAACCAGTCCAGTAATCTCTCAGCAACTTCTTCATCATGTTCTGGTCCTCTGGTGTCTCCAAATCCTGGAGTATCAATGATGGTCAGAGAGAATGGGAGAGTTTCAAAACCAAAGATCTCGTACACAATGACATCTGTTGTCTGACTTTCAACCTGACTTTCTTTCTTTTCTTCTACTATCTGAAACCAGATTTCATCCTCAAACTTCACTCCCATGGTGTAGTTAAACAGAGCGTTGACAAGGGCAGATTTTCCTGCTCCTGTTTCACCAACTAGTAGGATGGTTCTGTTTGTCTTGTTTAAATTTCTCTCACCAATAGTTAGTCTGGTCAGATTTTCAATAATTTCTTGCTTTGGTTTCACTTGGTAGAGAGCAGGAGTTCCTGAACGTAGCGGTTTACTCTTAGAAATGATGTCTTTGTACTTGGTTTCGGCATCCCTGTAGAAAAAATGTGTTCATTTAAATGGGGCCAAATTCTTTGATTCTCCATCTAGACTTTAGTTTCAAATTTCAGCAAACACAGAAATGTAGAAAAATTTTATATTTTGTGTAAAATTACAATACTTCAGGTTGAAATAACAGTTCTGATAATATTGAACTAATCTGCAGAACATACAAGGTTCAAACATGTTATAATCATCTATTTTTTCCTACATTATACTCTGGGTTAGTTTTAAAATTCAATCAACATTAGTTACTGATCAAATCAAATGCATCATCATTTTAACTCTTTGCCAGTCTAGTTAAGTTTTATAAAACAAAAAGCATACAATAATGTGCTGGTGAAGATTCACAGTCATCCAGGTCATAGTCATTCCAAAAAAGTTAAATAACAATCCACTGGACTTTGTTTCAAAGTTCGAAGATGTTTGTCTTCCCAACCAGGAAGCTTTTTCAATTCAAAAGTTCAAACACAACTCAAGAAGACAGCCCAAAAGATAGATAAAAGCTGAACCACCCAGTTTCAACAAAGGAATGCAAAGGAAATTAAATTTGGAGACTTAGACATCAATGAGGCACTAGGTAAAGAGGCACATAACCAAAATGCAAATGAGTCAATTTTATATGGAGTGGAGATTCTGATGAGGGATCAGTAGAGGGGGGAAGATGATGGACAGGAAAAAAATGGTTGACAACCTTAAAAAAAAACGCAGTTGTTAGAATAATTATATATAAATGTATCTGTGTAGTGTTATCATGCATAAAGCTGTGTGCTATGTGCATGTGTTCATAGCCATCTTTTCTGAAGTATACTGTGATTTGTAGATTTGCTTTTAGGGAGGTTGTGGTTGATTTATGAGCAGCACTCAACTGCTGAGATTTGGTGAACAGCTTCAACAGCTTAAACTTTGACTGAACCCTGAAATTTAGAGGATGTTTACTGAGACTGCAAGTCTGAATTCCTCATGTTGTTTCCCATCTCTAGAGCAGTCTCAGCTGTTGTAACCAGGGACCAATGATTCCAATAAATAGCGAGGAGAATGCTGGTACTGCAGGGTGGGTTGGAGATTTGTAAACTCTGCAATCTCTTCCTACTCTCCTATATATATATATATATATATATATATATATATATATATATATATATATATATATATATATATATGCATATACACACACACTGCCTGGCCAAAACAAAAATCGCCACCAAAAAAAAGGTCACTCACTCTAATACTCTAACTACTCTATAGCTTTGATTGCGGCACGCATTCGCTGTGGCATTGTTTCGATAAGCTTCTGCAATGTCAAAAGATTTATTTCCATCCAGTGTTGCATAAATTTTTCACCAAGATCTTGCATTGATGATGGTAGAGTCTGACCGCTGCGCAAAGCCCTCTCTAGCACATCCCAAAGATTCTCAATGTGGTTGAGGTCTGGACTTTGTGGTGGCCAATCCATGTGTGAAAATTATGAGTCATGCTTCCTGAACCAGTCTTTCACCATTGAGCCCGATGAATCCTGGCATTGTCATCTTGGAAAATGCCTGTGCCATCATGGAAGAATAAGTCCATTGATGGAATAACCTGGTCATTCAGTATATTCAGGTATTTAGTTGACCTCATTCTTTGAGCACATCCTGTTGCTGAACCTAGACCTGACCAACTGCAGCAACCCCAGATTCCCTGATTGCCCCATCACTCTGGAACAGGGTAAATCAGGACTCATCAGACCACATGACTTTCTTCCATTTGTGGGGAGTAACGTGACGTGACGCTCGGCCAAGGAGGGAGAGCGTCAGGTGTAGAGAGAGAGTGGAGATGCGGAGCAGAAGAAGGAAGGAGGGGGAATTCCGACCGGGCAGTGGACGCCAGAGGGGGAATTCCGACCGTGCTGCGGACGCCGACAGCCAGAGGAGTTTGGTGCAGTGAAGATATATGCCTGCAAGTAAACTTGTCTT